GAGAAACGAGCAGTTGGATACCTCTAAAGACAAAATCTGGAGTGACATGCATGTACCATATGTGATGTTATTTGTTTTTTATTATGATTATGTCTTTAAATTACTTATACTAACACACTCTATGTATGTTTTTCGTAGAGGTCTTTCAATATTGATGATACCAGAAGATCTTATTGTCTTCAATTGGCCGGGAAAAGACATAGAGGGTTTAGATCTTTTTTATCAAACAAGTATCTAAGAGATACCGGAAATTTTTTTGTTGATGCCGAGCGTCCAAGTATATATGCAAACTTGATTTCACCAGAAGAATGAGACACTTTTAATGACAAACGAAGAACCGGAAAATTTCAAAATACGAGTGTCATAAATCGCCAACGAGCATCAGGTCCCGCATATCCATACAGAAAAGGGCGTACGGGATATGCACGCTTACAACAAAAAATAGTAAGTATATATAAATTGCAATAATATACTTGTTCATCATGAGTTATAATTGATCTTATTTTTTGTCTTAATGTGTAGTTAAAAGAGGAGAATAGTTCCGAAACATTTGTTCCGGAACATGTTTTGTGGAAGGCCGCCCGTGTGGGTAAGGATGGAGTTGTTAAAGAAGAGGTTCAACAAATTTTTGAGAAATATGTAAGTATAACATTAATTGTTTGATTAAATCAAAAGTTTATTAACATATAATATTCACGATTTTTCGATATTCATATGAATTTTAGGAGAATCTATCTCAGTCTATATCTCTGGATGACTATAATGATTGCAGAAGCATACTCAATCGAGCATTATATGTTCGTGAGTATTCCAGTCGGGTGAGGGGTATGGGACATGGGGTCACTCCAACATCCTTGAAAAAGAAAAATACAAATACAAAATCTCCTAGCAATAAAGAACTGCAGGCAAAGTTGCAAGCATTAGAAGTTGAAGTTCGTGAATTAAGAAAGGAAAGAGAAAAAGATCAATCAGAAAGGGAAGCTTCAGATTTTAAAGATACCAGTGACAAAGCTAGTGTCAATTGTAATGTTCAACCGAATATTCCCGAGGTGATTATATAAATCATTATGAAATTAAATTAGTGTAATTTATTTAATTGACATATATATATATATATATATATATATATATATATATATATATATATATATATACACACACACACACATTAACAATGTCATATTTATTATTGGTTTTAGGGCATTTCACCCTGTCAACTCTATTTATCGTCAGCGACTTATCGGATGATTGACAAGGGGAAATGCATAATACTTTGGGAGAAGCACTTCACTATAAACCGTTCCCTGCTGGATATTTGAAGGTATCAATTGATATTGCTTTATAGGGAGTGCGTTATTACTAATACCAGACGATGTTTCAGATGCAACATTGGTGGGAGAGGCAGTATGTGCATATGTTGCATGACCGTCAAGCCTCATTCACGTAGATGATGAGGTATGCTTAAAACCATTATGAAACTTTGAGTATTCAAAGTTTTTACGAGCATTTTACGTACATTTTTTCATATGGTAATATTATACTCCTATAAAACCCAAATCAAAAGATAATGGGATGATGCGGCAAACCGAGTCAGTTGCATAAAAAAAGGTATAATACAATTATATGATATTTATGCATGAAATGATCTTATAATTCACCTAACTAATTATATGATATTTAGATGCATGCTAAAGAGATTGAACAAGTAAGTAGGGGTAATAAGACCACGGCTAGCAAAAAACTACTTCTCAGTATAGGTCGTGCCTTCGGACATATATAGGAATAACAAATATTCCAATTGGTGGTACTCGTCTTATACCTATACTGACAGACACTTTTGGTTATAAATACATGGAAGCAATTGGTAGAGAAGATATGGATCAAGTTTTTCAACATTTGACTTTAGGCCTTGGTGTTATCGATACATACATTAGGTATACTCCGATCAAATTTGTTTAATTAAATGAACAATTTATTTACTCATTTCAACGAATATAGTCTAATTTTAATGATGATTTTATTTAAGATTTCTGTATGACAAAGTGATGCGCCCGCGTGGATTGGAAGAAAGATTCACTTTCTTAGCTCCCAACACCGTCAACGCATGGTTAATCCTAACAAAACCAGATGATGTCATATCGTATGTACTCGGTTTATTTGTGACCAACAAAGATACAAAAAAGTTGTTCTTTTTACCATATAATACTGGCCACTGGTTATATTTTCATCCTAACTTCATCTATTATAATTTTTCGTTTTTTGACGTTGTGTAGAAACTTTTCATCTAATATTTGTTTAATCTTACAGTGGACATTGATTGTTTCTTGCAATTAATCATGTAGCAGAAATTGTATACTATCTAGATTCGTTATACAATGATTGGACAACATACCCAAATTTAAAGAAGATAATTGATACGTAAGTGAGATTGTTCTAAATATTTGTGTGTATATTTATTTATCTATGTGAGATTGTTCTAAATAGTCATTTATATTTTATTATAGCGTTCTACAAGCTTTTCAATCACAGAGAGGTATTCAAGTACCAAAGAGTAGATCCAACAACATTATGTGGATCAGAGTGCAGGTATATTTTCACAATTTTGATTATATTAGTGATGATACTTGACAAAACAAGTTAAGGGGTATATCTTGATATATATCTGTATTTTCTTTCCATGTGTAGTGTCCTCGTCAACGTAATGGTATAGATTGTGATTATTTCATATTGAGGTTTATGAAAGAAACACTTCTTTTGGACCAAATAGAGATTCCATCCACGGTATGGATTTCTAACTTAGGAATTATTTTAATATTTCTCATAAAATGGCATAGTGTTTTAACTAAATCACATACTATGTTATATTATTATGTAGTATTTTGACGAATTCAATTGTGCTCATTATTCAGAATATCAATTGGATGAACTTATGGAGGAATGGTGTCAATTCATTATGGAGTTGAGAATTTTATAAGGCGTGTTGTCTTTCTTTCATTGATGAGAATTTTGAGTATAACTTTCAAGTTTTGAGTATAAATTCGAATAACGTTTTGTTTTATCATGGTATGAATTTCGATCTTTTGGTTTTGTTTCAGGTTATAGGTGCAGATGTAGAAGATAGAGCTAACTAGTTCATTGTTGTTTGTTTTTTTAGAAATTCTCGAGGATAGTAATATGTAGATTAAACATCAATTTAGAATTTAGAATTTTCAAGTTGTATCATAAATTTTCAAGTTGTTGTTGTATATATCATCAATTATATATGTAGATTTTTTGTATATGCAAATTTGATGCATTTATATTGGATTGAAGCTACCAAATATGATGCAAAATATGGTGAAAACCTAGTGCGAAATATGGTGAAAATCAGGTAAAAATTTATTGTAGATATTAGACAGCGTTTTCTGTAAGTGAAAATAAGTCTAATATTTTAAAAAAATTGTGAACATTAGACAACGCTTAATGAGAAAAGCGTTGTCTAAAGTGGGAAAAAGCTGCCTAAACTGAGAAAAAGCGCAGCCTAAAATGGAGAAAAGACAACGCTTTTAAAGAAAAGTATTGTCTAAAGCGATGCGTAAAAGATAACCAAAAGCGCAGTCTAAAGAGAAAGCGCTGCTAAAGGGATACATAAGAAAGCGCTTCAAAAGAGAAAGCGCTGCTAAAGGAGTGCATAAGAAATCGCTTTTATAGTAAAAGCGCTGTCTAAAGGAGACATATAGCAGCACTTTTACATTAATCTAAAGCCCTGCATTTACTTATAGCAGCGGTGGTTTAAGCAACACTTTAAAACGCTGTCTATGGTCAAAAAAAGCGGTATCTGTATGCTTGTTTGCATAGTGGAAACTCAATGTGTGATTTTGTCTTTTCAAAAGTGGTGAACTTTAGAAAAATATACTTTGTTTAGAGTGATTTTTGTGTTAGTCTTTTTAGTTCAAGATGACTTTTAAATTTATTTTTTTCAAAATATTTCATATAATAAAAATAAATAGTCTAATGAATTAAAATCCCGAATATGTTATTGATATATAAGAAAATGATATATGTATTATATTATATTTGAATTTTTGAAAAGTGATTTTAATTTAAAATGTTAAAACTAATAAATAATTTATCATAAGTATTATTTATTGTAAATAGTGTGATAAAAGAGTAGTATAATGTTTTGTTTTAAAAAAAAGAAAGAATCTAAAATTATTTTAAATATATTATATAAAAAAATATGTAATTTTTTTATTAATTAAAAATAATTATAAAGAAAATAAAAAATATTATTTTATAAATTTATGAAAATATGTAAGTAATTATTAAGTTAATATATTTTTTCATTTTTAATTTTATAGTTAAAAATTAATGACAAGAAAAATAGAAATATTATCTTATAAGAAAAATAGTTATTAGATTAATATATTTCTTTATATTTTTTAGTAATCAAACTCGTGACCTACAATCTCTATAATTTTGACTTTTAAAAAATAAAGATAAATTTTAAAAGATAACACATAAATGATTTTATATAACTAATATGTTGGGAGGCTCTTTTAATATATATAATCGATTTTGAACTATCAAAATACCATTGAAGATGATTTGTGTCATAACTTAAAATATTATTTAATTTTTGTTTGACTTCAAATAACACTTTGAGATCCTAAAATGATGCCTCACAATTTAGGGTAAACGAGAAGATTCATTTCGAGTCAAAACATGACATCAAGATTTGTATCATAATGTAACAAATGACCAACAATATTACACTTTTGATTTAAATAACTTGAATTGAAATGAAATGATACAAATATGCATAAATGAAAAATACCAAAATGACTTGTCAATTAAATTTCAACCCAAACTCTGAACATAATTGTCCAATAGCTTGAAGGGTTGGCATTTGTGACATCCCTTCCTAGGACTTCATAGTACTAACATAAAATATATGTTCTTGCTCCTATTATTTTTAGTTGTAGCAAGTCAAGATTGTGAAACATACTAAGGTTGACACACTAGTTTGCAGAAATTGCATTATTGTCATTAGAGGAAACATCATGGCCATATGAGATTTTTTGTTTTCTACCCGTTCTTTGTCTATTGCTACCTCCTCCTTCTTGAATTCCCCCTTTTACCTTCTCCTCCACATCTTCTTGAAGGCGCTTCACCTGTCTTCGATGGACCAATCTTTCAGTCTAATACGTAAAATATAACATGTAGTGTATACAATGACTAATATGCGAATATAACATATAGTGTATACAATACAAATAATAACAAACTTAGAACTTTTATAATGTGGAGATAAAAATCGTATCGATGAAAAAGAAACTTTAGTATGTCAAATGCTCCAAATATCTTGTACCTGGATCTCTCCCTAAATGGAGATGATAATTAGGGTTTTATGAAAGTACTTGACCAGCCAAAGAGTTTGACATACATGACATTTTTTTTGTAAGGAGAGGATTAGGGAGAATCACTTACCATTTTGACACACTTCACACATACTCCATTGTTTTGTGTTTTGTATCCTCATTCAATGGTAATGATAATTTACAAGATTGACCTTGATTACATGAACAAAAGAAAAGATACCACTAATTAAAAGACTCATGAAAAAAATTCTTATCACAACTTAACTACTATTTCCCTTTAACCAATTAACTATATCTTTCATAATTAACAAGATTATCAACCATAACAAATCGTACTTTAAACAAACCCTCTACAATGAGATAAAAACGAACCATAACAAATTATACTTTAAGCAGACCCTCTACAACGAAGCAAAAGTTGTTAGATCTAAATGCAATTGAATCTATCACCCGAATCCAACCACTCCGTAATCGTTATACTAGTATAGATATTTAGAAATTTTATCTATATAAGTGGGAGAATCTTCCTAAAACTATGTTTTAATATCCAATATACAAATCATTGGTGTATTTGTTCAAAATTCAAGACCCATAGAGTTCCCACATAACCCTACAGCTGACACAACATCCAGACTCCAAATCTTTAGATCATTCCCACAACCTCAAAAATCTTATCAACTTCAAAGTATACCCCACAACTCAACTACAAGTTAAACCTACCCTTTTGATTTTCATAACTAATTTTGATCTTATTCACCAAAGAACAAAAAATGAAAAATACCCCACAATCAACAATCACTCAAAATACATGCAACACATAATCATGATACATGCCATGGATGTAATGTAACACTAGATGAATTAAAAAAAAAACTAGAAATAATGTTAGAATATAACTGACCCCAAAACAGAAGTTCTGATAATTAGAATCGAAGCTAGACGAATCCCCTGCCATTCCATAATTCATCTGGTTGGAATTGCGTTTATTAGAATTAGAACTTTCGTTATAATTCATGAAAGTAGATGAAGTGGAGCAACCAGAAGCATTCATAGAATTGCTTCCATCTAATCCAATATCTGCTTGAAACATATCACTAAACAACTGCTGCAATTCCTCAAAACTCTCCTCTCCATTTTCCTGTATCACATATAAATTAGTCAATAATATCATTCCAACATAGTCTCAAGTTTTTGAAAGGTCTGTGTAGATTATATACGGTTCAATTCTGACAAAATAAATAGAGATCTAATTTAACCACTTGCAAATATGTTACGAGACTCTGTTTAATCATTGTTTAACAATGACAAGTTTTAGTTTGTGTGCTGTAGTCCGCTTTGCACGTCCTTAAACACGTCCCGGCACTTGCATTATTATACATGAAGACATCTTGAACCATTAACCCACATGGGCCCAAGATTTTCAAATCAAGTTTGATATTTTTAAGTCATATATTAATTGGACCAAAAAAAAACAAACAATATTAGGACCCAATCCCAAAAGGTGAAAAGTAGCAACTACATAGTATTTGGCTAAAGAAGACACTTATGTTTGTCTATCTTTATCCATTAAATTATTACTAAATAAAAAAATAGATAAAACAACGCTGTTGGTTTGTGTCTAACCTGATTATCACCTAAAGTTCCACTAATTATAAGCAAACAAAAAAATTGCAAAATATTGAAGGAAGACTCACGTTTGATGTAGTTTGACTCATCATTGTAACCATTTCATTCAAAAAGTCACCCATACCCTGCAAAACCAAATTCATTTTCTTAGATTAGTACATCAAAATTATTGGATCTAGAACACTCATTCATTTGAATGAAACAATATCAAATTCATCCCTTTTCACTAACTAAACTTGATTCAATGAATTATTCCCTTTTATTTAAACCTATAAACAATATTCCCCATGTGCTATGTGACACATACATTGACTTGATTTACAAGAAAATGTATCTTTGCAAATTGCATAGAGATGTGAGTTCAAACCTACAACATCACACATCTGATTACAAAGAGGACCGACGCATCAAATGGTAGATATGTGTGACGTATTAGATTGTAGATATGTGTGAGTTCGAATCTACAACATCATGCATCAGATTGCAAACATGACAGACACGTCAGATTCGAAGACACGTCATTGTACTTTAAAAAGTAAAATTTCAATTATTAAATTATTATACAAAAGAAATCTATTAATATTTCAAAAAAATTTAAAAATATAAATATAATTTAGATGTGAGTGACTTACATTTTCATCGTCATCATCATTGTCGTAAACTCCAACGTCGTACATTAACCTCTTATTAGAGTCAGATAAAACTGTCACAGAAAAAAAAAAACATTATTTGCATTTTAAACCCAATATTTAAGTAAAAATAAAAATTTCAACTTTTCTTCAATTTTTATCAGAAAATAAACAAATAAACCATGGGTCAATTTCCAACCATGAAAATAATTATTATATTGCCTTTCAAAAAAAAATATTATATTGTATAAAAATATAATAAAAACACATGAAGTTCATGTGCAAAATTACCAGAATAGGCCTCTTGAATCGCCTGAAATTTCTTCTTAGCTTCTTCCACAAACTTCACATTTCCTGAAGCTGAACAACGATCTGGGTGCCATTTCTGTCCAAATTCATAAAAAAAAAAAAGATTTTTATATGAACAAGAAACAAAGTTATTAAAGAAAAAAAAAAGCATTAAGATTAAATTCTAACCATTGCAAGTTTCTTATAAGCATTTCTTAGCTCAGAATCAGTGCATTCTTTATTCAATCCCAAAACCGCATAAAAATCACTGCTTTTGTTCCCTTCATTAGCCATTTTTTTCCAACAATAACAACCTTAATTTTCACAACCTAGTACTCTCCAAAAGAACAAATCAAACTGATGTTTGTGTCGGCAAATTGAATCAAGATGCAAATTCCGTACAACCTTAAAAAAATGAAGAAGCTAAAAATTCATAGATATACACAATCACAATAACATTATGTTATGATGTGATTATATAAATATAAAATATGTAATAATATTAATATACAACTTGTATGACAACTTGGGTTGGGTTTAGTTTAGTTTTGGTTAGGCTACATGTTTCTGAATAGGTACATGAATGGTTGAAAGTGCAAAGAGAATACTCTAGAGACCTATAGTTCTAGACTTTATATATAGTTTTTTTTTGTCTATTTAAATATCGTTTTTATTAAAATATGAGAGGGTTGTTTTTGTTTTTGATGATTAATTAATTGGAAATAAAGAAGTGGTTTTGATGTAGGGCTAGGATTCTATGTTGATGAAGATATTTTAGTGAGAAAGTTTCTCCAGAAGGTTCTTTGTGGATGTGAAAGTCCTTTAGCTTCTTTTGTTGTTGTGTGTGTATAATGAAACGATAAAGTTTTTTTAATATAAAGTGAAAACGTGAGATTGTGAAATTGTTTTTATAAAAAGAAATAAAAGGTAAATTCAGGGTGGGCCCTATTGGAGATGTTATAAGGCTGTTTAAACGATTTGAGAAGGAATTGATTAATCACACTCCATTGTCTTTGTCAGATGATAAAGAAATTTATAAAGGGTTGTGGAGGTCATGGAAATAGGTTTTGAATTTTTTTTATATAAATTTATTTAATGTGGCAACTTGTTGCAATATGTGAGGTATGAATCTACAAAAGATTGGGTTAAGGACTTGGAAATGTACTAAACAAATAAAAATTGGAAATTTCCCTATGCTGTTTCGTTGGACCGAGAAGAGTAGATAAACAACTGGAATTTATCCTATGTTTCTTCATTGGACCAAGAAGAGTAGATAAACTATTTTGTGGGTCAATGAGGAGGAGTAAGAAGTTGTAAGATAGAAATTAATGTACTTCCCTCTTTAGTTTTAGAGCTCTTATACAGGTGTTTAGAGTAAAGTTATTATTGTTGTATAATCCAAATTAATTATTTGATTAGAAAGTTAAGTAGTTGAAGTGGAAGATATATTAGTTATTTAGTATACAAGTCACTTATTTCTATATATAATTTAATTCAGTTTCTATTATTACCTTCGATAATAATGAAATAGCAATCCTTATTCTCCATTCTCTCTCTTTCTCTCTTTATTAAAAGTGTCTCACGCATTAATAAATTGATATTTAGAGTCTCCGATTACTTTTTTAATCGTGTTTTCATAAAATGCACGTTAGTGGTCGCGTTTCCAGGGATCGTGAATCGCGTTTGCTGCAACGATGAATGGTAGCAATGGAATTTTCAATTCTCTTCCAATTTTTTACGGCAAAAATTAGATTCGATGAAGAAAACATATGCAATCCTTGTTTGGTTTTCCTGAACTTGCTGACAACGCAACTAATGTTCAGAGAGTAGCCACAAGGATGCCAAGAAGAAAGATTGCAAGATTGTATTTTATATTCAATCTGCAGTAGGTGCAGTGAATTTTGATCAGATTTCTCATGCTGAATCGGTGAAGGAGACATGAAATATTCTTGTCAAATATTATGATGGAGATGAGAAGGTTAAAACTGTGAAGTTGCAGAAGTTAAGAAGGCATTATGAATTACTGCAGATAGGAGAAGAAGAAAAGATTTTAGGCTATGTCTCGAAAGTGAAGAATCTTGTTCATCTCATGAAAGGTTATGGTGAAACCCTTATTGGCAAGATGATAGTTGAGAAGGTAATGCATACGTTAACCTCTCACTTTGATCACGTTATCGTAGCTATTCAAGAATCCAATAATTTTGTAACCATGAAACTAGAAGATTTGGTTGGTTCGTTAGAGGCACATAAGTTACGGATTATCGAGAGGAAAAGGGTTCAAGATTCGATACAAGCTCTGTAGGCCCAGACATGAAAGAAGCATGGGAGAATTAGAGCAAGATTTAGATGATAAGGCCTTTGAATCCTCAAAAAGAGGAGAAGGAAACTCTTATCAGAAAGACAGAGAAGAGAAAAAAGGCGTGCAATGCTATAACTGTAAAAAGTGGGATCATTTGGCTAAGAATTGTTGGTATAAGAAAGACAAGGAAGCGACAAAAGGCAAGGAAGAAGGAGCGAACCTTACATGAAAATATTCAAAGGATTCTAAAGATATGGTGGTTATGGATGCAGTTGCAGATGAGCATGTCGACACAAAAATCTAGTTTCTCGACACATGTTGATCAAATCACATGACTAGTAGAAAAGTGTGGTTAACAAATTTCAAAGAGTCAAAGAAGAGCAAGGTTAAACTTGTTGATAATAGCTCGTTGCAAGCAGAAGGTACTGACGATATATTTATTCAAAGGAGCAATGAAGCAAAAGCTATAATCAAAGATGTACTATATGTACCTGAATGAAGTGCAATCTGCTAAGTGTTGGACAACTAATCGAAATTTTTTTCTTAGTGGTTATGAAAGATGAAGCCTTGGAAATGTTTGACACTCAGAATAATTTGGTCTTGATATCTCTTCTGTCGAAGAATAGGACATATATAAGACCATGATCAGTTCGACTGAGGTACAATGTATGAAAATGGTTGTTGACCACAAGCATAGTTGGTTGTGGCATTTGATATTTGGCCATATGTAATTTAGGTCACTCAATCAACTTATCACTCAAGATATGGCAACTGGTATACCAAGTCTTGTGATTCTCGACAAACTTTGTGTAGGTTGCTTAGTAGGAAAGCAGTCCAGAAAGTATTTCGTTTTGATTATGCCAATGAGTTCCTCTTGCATTCTAGTAGTACATTCAGATGTACGTGGTCCCTTTGAGGATCATACCATTGGTGGAAACTAGTATTTTGTCTTATTTGTCAATCAGTATAGTTGAAAGCTTTGGATCTATGTGATCAAGCAAAAAGACGAAGTATTTGAAATCTTTAAGAGATTCAAGAAGCTTTTCGAAAATCAGAGTGAAAAGAAGATCAAGGTTCTGCAAACAGATGGAGGTGGTGAATACACATCCAAGATATTGGAAGAATTTTATGCATAACATAATATTGATCACGAGGTAACTGCTCCTTACACGCCTCAACTTAATGGAATAACATATGTCATAACCGGTAAAAAATACGAGTCACCACCACTACTTTTTGTCCTAAGGACAGGAAAGGAACATATAAACTCTAAATTTTCAAAGATTTCTAAGTTTGCGAGTTGATTAGAAAAAAGAAAGGTGTTAGGCACCTTTTACCTCCCTTGTATTCAAGGGGACCCTCTTTAGGTTTAGGATTTAATGAGAATTTTCTACTTATGTTATTATCATGTGTATATGAAAATGATTAATTTTTTAGTTATGGGATTCGCCTTGGTTTTAACCGCGTGCCTATGTATCCTCTTGCGAATAAATCAGAGTCCATTTCGTAGTTCGTAGTATGTTTGGTTGGTGTTTTTTATAGGATTGTGTTAAGCTGCTTTCGAAAGATTTCGAACATGTCTGAGTTTGAAAGTTGAGTGATGGTAGGAGAAGTTTTTGTATTCGATTTGAAAGTAACTTGACAATCCCTTATTGAAAAAGTCTTGATTTTGATTATGTTAGTAAAAAAAATGGATTGGTTGAAGAAGAGTTTATCTTCTTTAGAATTAAATCGCGCTAGGTGGAGAAATTAATTTGATATGTTGGTGAATTTTAATTATTTAATTTTGAATAATTAATTGGTAAAACGTTAAACCAACCAATCGATTATTCGAAGATATGATGGATATAAAATCTATCTATCTTATTATTTGTAAAAATATTAAATTAATTTAATTTAAAAAAAAAAAGAGTTATGTGCAAGGAAGTTTTTGTTATTTTATGATTTTTAACCTAACTGAAACAAAATTAAAAACCTAATGACTAGATAAAAATTAAGTTAAGGCAACCTAATCAAATGATCTAAATTAATTAAATGAGAATAATTGAGAGAAAGAAATAAATAGAGTTAAGTTAATTAGTTAAAAATAACATAAAAGGTTAAACTAATTAAACTTAATTACTAAGTTAAATTTAATTAATTAAAAACTAAAAATATGATGTAATTAAAACCTAGGATTACAATCTTAAACCAAATAATTAGACTAAAAAAAGTAATGATCAAAGAAATAAAGATGCAGGGCGTTGTATCACACCACTTATTGTAATCCCTCTTTTTAATTGTTTCTATAAAATAAACTATTATAATGGTTTACCACTCATAGCAAGACACGTGGCAACATACTAAAAGAAAAAAAGAAAAATTGATGGTTAGAAAATTGAAAGAAATATACAGTGGTTTTATGGTGAGAAAGATAGTGAGTGTATCGTGAGAATTGTGTATGTGACTGTGGATGAATTGTTCGCTTGCTGAAAAATGTTAATTTTAAAATAAAACCATCCGATAGTATTCACCCCATGGTAAAAGCACTAAATAATGAAAGGAAAAATATTAAAAATATAGAATCAGTAAGATTTGAACATGTGACCTTATGCTTGTAAGCTTTATCTCCTTATCTATTGTGTTGTCTCATTTATTTAAAATAAAAAGACACTTGAAAGCATATGAAGGGTAAGAAAATATTTTCTATTTAAGAAATATAAATAATTTAAAGTAAACTATTAAATATTTTTAAATAAGCAAAATAAATTGAAAATAAATATTTATAAAACCCAAAATATTAGTGTAAGTAAACCAAATAAATTTATAAAACCAATTTTGAAAATTATTTGACTGTAGAAAATAAGACGGACAAATTTGGGGTATGACAACAGAAAGAAGAAACATGATCATATTGAACATGGTAAGATGCATGCTGAAGTAGAAGAATCTGCCTAAATCCTTTTGGGGTGAAGGAGTCACTAGGGTTGTTTATATTTGAACAAGTGCCCTACCA